TCTTGAGTCTAGCTTAGGGATATAACGTTCTTCGCGATGGAATAAAAAATTTATTTGCGACGACAAGATGAACATGAAAACCGGGTCAAGCTCGATCGCGAGCGTTCCTTCCTTTGCGCAGATGTTTGACTTTTCCAGTGTGCTAGGGGATTTCCCTGTGGCAAAATGCATGCGTGATGGACATCAAACGCACACTGTGGATCTGAGCTTTGCAGCATGCACAGTTTGAATCATGATATGCCATGATCACTTCCTACACAAATCTAGTTACTGTAAAAACCCGTAAAGGTGCCCACTCGGATAAGGTGACCACCTGTCCTAGAAGACTAGTGAAACCAGCAGCAAGGGATGCTATTTCCAGTCAAATGACCCTGTATAAGCAGACCACCTGGTAGCAGAGAGCACAATTGTAAGGTGCGTTGAGCAGTAGTGTTAGAGAGTTGTTGTGTGTTTCCAGTAGATGACATAGATGTGTAAAGTTAGTCAGTAGAGTGTAGAGTGTAGTGTGAAAAGAGTAAACATAACTACACTATTCTACTAATGGACACGTAGAGGATAACAACTTACCATTGCACTCTTCTACCTGTATGCTCTCTGTTATACTCTCTGTTATACGGTCAGAAATCACACATCTGTAAATGCTGTACAGCGGCGACATCAATACACATACACACACACATGTACCAGGAGTGCGGTGCAAAGCAATGAACCGCGTGGAAACGCGTGGCAGACAGCTGGGAGCCTAGCCACAGTGCAACGCAGCTTGCCGAGGTCATAGCAGAGGAGCTAGAGAGGGTGAAGAGGTCGGAGAACCTTATTCTCAGGGGCATCCCCGAAGCGGACAATGAGGCCAGCGTAGCACTGTCATCCAGATGTGAGCAGCTCCTCCAGATTAGTGCTCACCAAATACTCTCTGCAGAGCGCATTGGTTCCGCCAGCAAAGCCGTACAGGACAAGGCCAGGCCAGTGAGGCTACGCATGAAAAGCCACGAGGCCAAGCTGTCAGTGTACCGTAAACGTCTGGATTTGAAACTGAATGATCGAGATGTGTACGTGAACAACGACCTGACCAAGCAACAGCAGATTGCTATAAGTAGACGACAGGCCCTGCCTAGGTATAAGGAACTCCGCCAAAAGGAGATCCGTTGCTCGCTACCGTATGGTGAGATTTTGAACCCAGATGGCACCCCATACAGTGCAACTGAAATCGATGAGCTAACAACACAATAGGTTTCATCAGGGTGTCCAAGTAATCACCAGCAACACTCCCTCTCAGCTACTTCACCTCATCTCCGAGCAACAGATGTCGTCGCTGACCCAGCACCTAACATTTTAAGAAATCCTTGTAACTACATGTACTGAGTATCCATCCAGTCAAACAGTGCCTGATTGTTCGTCTTCAGCCATCAAGAGCTTAACCATCGCCCACATCAAAATCTGTAGCCTAAGAAATAAAACTCATGAAATCCATTGCATAATGTACAAGTACAGAATCGATGTGCTAGCAATCAGTGAAACATGCTTGGATTCTACTGTGATGAATTGCGATCTTGCTATACCAGCCTACACTCTCTATCGCCGGGACCGAGCTGATCGCAGAAAGGGTGGCGGCGTTGCTATGTATGTGCAGGAACAACAGAAATCCAGGCAACTTCAAGTAAACGACAGGCTAGAGACCATATTCGTTGGGTTGCACACCCATAGCCGAACGAATCCATTTCTATCCATCGGCTGCGTATACCGCGCTCCCGACAGCCATGTGGATTTCTGGGAGCAGCTCGATAATAGCGTGCAGATGGCCTCCGCACTATGTCCGGACATCCTCCTCCTCGGTGATTACAATGTCAACATGCTCTCTGTCCCACCTCACCCAAACGCCCGCTATGTACAAGGTCTCTGCGCTGACCACAGCTTACACAACGTCATACTACAGCCCACCAGAGTTCCTAGTAAGTCATGCCTAGACCTTGCACTCATACCGGCAACAATGACAACGGCTGCTCCGTCTCCCTCTCCCATGTCTCTTCATAGTACATTTTTTTCACAGCGTCGATGGCCTGTCTGACCACCATCTTATTGGCCTCTCTGTCCGTGTTAGTAGAGCCAACTTTGAACAGCCACACGAGCAATTCTCTCGAAGACGCCAACCTAGCCTGGCTCACCTTGACCGTAGTGTAACGTCTGCAGCTCTCACACACATCTTTGACCCCTCAGATGTATCTGGCGGTTATACTCTAAATGCAGCGGCAAGCCACTGGCAACAAAGTGTCATGACAGTACTAGATGATCTTGCTCCATTTGTTACCCAGAAGCGCGCAGCTTACTCCAAAACCGGCCCCCAGCCCTGGGTCACCCCAGAGCTGAAACAGATGTTTCATCGACGAAACTCAGCCCATCGCACCTTAAGCACCCCATGGATGACCGCCTCCGACAGCAGTATCGTGCAATACGTCGTACTAAACCGCAAACTGAAAAGTGTGTACTACAAAGATAAGTTCAGTGCCGCTACAGGAAATCCTAGACTCCAATGGGCAGTGCTGAATCAACTAACTGGAAGGAGAAAATCCCACCCCACACCGAAAGCCTTCCTCTCATCTTTGTCAGATACCCTAGGCAATATCGTCTATGATGAACACCGCGCTGCTCTGACGACCCCAGACACTCCGGCGGACGACTGTTTAGACAACTGCCTTCTCGAGTTCCAACCCGTTACAACAGCAGCAGTAATGAAGATTCTCGAACGATTGAATACCACGAAAGCATCTGGATGAGATGGCATACCAGCTTTCATCTTGAAACACCATGCCGCCGAGCTGGCCAATTCCTTAACTTCCATCTTCAACCAGTCATTGTCTAGCGGAAAGGTACCGTCAGCCTACAAACTAGCGTCTGTGTGTCCAGTGTTTAAGAAAGGCGACCCCTACGACAGTTCCAACTATCGCCCAATCTCGCTACTGCCCATTATCTCCAAAGTCTTGGAATCACTAGTGCTCCAGCAGCTTCACGACCATCTGGACATCACACCCAGAGCAATTCCAAATGAACAGTTTGCATGCAGGCGGAACCACAGTACTGA